AGAGAGAGAGAGAGAGAGAGAGAGAGAGAGAGAGAGAGAGAGAGAGAGAAATACATACTGTACTGCAAATAATAATTACTTGCTTAAATATTTCATATTTCCACAAATTTATCATAGTTCATCACAAACATCAAATTTATTCAAAATATTTTCTGAATTCTAACAAGAGTATATATTTAATCAAGAAAATTAAAACAAATTCGATTTGCTTATTTATTATACAAAGTCGCTTTTTTGATCAATTCTATAATATAGGAAAATCGCTGCTACCAATATACTATTTTGTCTTTGGATAATATTTCTTAAAAAAAGCTAAAAATAAAACTTAGAGACATAAATACAAACTAGTATCTAGAAAGCATTTTCTCGCAGAATTTTTTCTTGAATAATATAATAATTTTTATCATTTTAAAATAAACAAAGATGAGCGTTTGACAAAATAAATCACAAACCTGATACAGTACATTGAAAACAAAATTACTTACTTTCAAAGAAATATTTTTTTGAAATTAAGATTTTTTTTTCAGTGTAGGCAATAATACTACAAATTCTTATTCTTTTTCTTTTACAGAATCTATACAAAATACTTACAAGTGAATGTAAATGTATAACATTTTCTAGAATCTTTTTAATATAAAATTATTTCAATATAAAACATTTTCAATATAAAACACTTTTCAATATAAAATTTTTTTTGTTAATTTATATGCATACTTTATGCTATTTAGGCTGCAGCTCGTTTTATTTAGAGCGTTTTCAGCGCTTTTCAATACTTTTATTCTTATTTTTTTAATGAATGATAAAGATAGAATAGTGATTACAAACGCTTAAAGCGCGTAAGTGTCCAAATCGACCGCAGCCTTTGTAAGACGCAACATGTAACACGTGGCAATTTTTTTTAAGTTTTCCTATATAAATATTGAAATATATGATCACCTTCAGCTCCAATAAGGCTATTTGACACTATAATGCAATACTATAAACATTAAATTAGCTTAATCTATCTTATAGACATGCTGTTGTCATGTGTGTCAGACATGCGCTGCACCCCAATATTTAAAATCATATTATAAAAAAAATATAAAAGAAAAAATATAAAAAGAACTGATTTAGGAAATTGCAAACATATGAAATAATGTAATATTATTAATAATATAGCCACTATTATTTAAACTACGTAATATAAATTAAGATAATTGGCTGTTTAATATTTCTTATTAAACTGCGCAATTTGCAAAAGAAAAATCATAAAAATTTTATTTTTGCGTTTGTAGAAATTCATTTTTAGGTCATTTTATATAGAAACAAGCCATAAATATATTATGAGTTTTTATACATCTTTAATTACACTGTTCGACAAAATGTGACCTTTTTTCCCGATCATGACGATCATGACAGTATTTCTTAATAAATTCAAAGTCGCAGAATCCAAATTCGCTAGCGAAAAATGTCCATCATGTCAGATTTTAAAATTAAAGGTCAAAATTTTGTTTAATCATATAAAAATGGCAAAAAACGCTGTTTATATAAATCTATCTACTATCCAATTTCAATCCGTCAATTTGAATCCGCCATTTTACATTTTATTTAGAAAACGTTCTCGATGAAAAAAATCGCACAATAAAAAATAAAAATTCCTTTTAAAAAACAGCTCTTTAAAATGGCGTTAATGAAATTGAAAAATAAAATTTGGCCACAAAAAGATTATAAAAATAACAAAAAAAAAACGCTGTTTGGCTCATATTAACTAATATTAATCTAAAAAAATCTGATGTGATGAGTATTTTTCATTGGCAGATTGCATTCAGCGACCTTAAATTTATTGAGAAAATACTGGCTCTGCTTGCCGCAAATTTTCTTGGTGGACTGTATTATCTAAACATGTTTTTATCAGTATTAATGGAGTGCAATAGTTTCCACGAAATAACAGGACATGTTTTTTTAAAAGATCTATATTAATATCGGCGACTTTTTCCTCCATTTTTCAAAAGAAAATAAATTCTTATTTTAAGAACATTTTAATGAGTTTTTTCTCAAATTTGTAACAAGTGTATTTAAAGATTATTATCAAGAAAATATTGTGAAAGATAACCATTACTTGATAAAAAGAAAATAAATTGAGTAATCACTTTAATTTCTTTCAATTAGTAGTAGAATTCGTTTCTATATAAAATGAGGTAAAAATAAATTTTTACAAATGCGAAAAAACAATTCTTATGATTTTTCCGTGTTTACATACTTGATCTCCCTGCTTTTGAGTAAGGCAGTAAAGAATCGAAGGAGAAAACAAAAGATCGAGCTGCACTTAAATTTGTTCGATATCAAAGAAACTTAAAGATCGAATGATGGAGAGCGATAACAAAGACCAAATGCGTATCCGTTTTTGAAAAGCAGCGCCTCTATCAAACTCGAACGAACGTTCTTCCACTGCGCATCCTCGCTCTTTCTCTTTCTCCCTCCCCTCCCGCAAATTCTCTTTTCCCTTTCTTCGCTTCACGATCGTAACGTTCTCTCTTTCTCTCTCTCTCTCTCTTTCGATGTATCACGCTCTCCGTTACTCCGTTACTCCGTTCTCGCATTGTATAAACTAACCTACACATTGGTCGAACGTTCCCTCTCGCTTCGGCAGGCTATAAAAGAGGCCGCTACGGCGCAACGCGCTCCAGTCGTTACGACGTAGTGTTGCGGTACGCAGTGATATCGGTCGAACGCGAAGCAGAAGCGAATCTAATCGAGCACGGAAGCGGCGTGATAAGAAAAGCGAGAGCGACCGAGGGCGGATAACAGGGGACGCGACGCGCGTCTCCGAGATCGTGATCGAGCATTTAATCGCCACGGCGTCGGTGGTGCCTTTGTCCACGACTCGACACGGCGGCATGAAATAACGACGGACCGGAAAGAACCATCGAAGCGGCAGGCAGCGGCGACGTCCTGATTCGAAGCGTCCGTGCTCAGTCCTCAGTGTAGGCTAGTCGGTCGCTCGGCGGTCGTTGTCTTAACGAGCCATCTACGGCGAAATTCCATCCATCCGATAGACGAGCGGTGTGGAGCCGCCAACGTGGAGAACAATTCTGGGGACGAGAGTTCGAAAAGAAGAACAATAATAATAATAACACGGCACGTGACGAACGCTCTTCCACTTGTCGTTGCGGACCTGTAATCTAAATTTCATCGATCACGTTGCGACGTGATAACATCGTCTTCTTCGAGGCGAGAAGTGTTATTTCGGCAAACGAGGAGGTTATCTCCCGGTGGGTACCTGGAGATTCGATCTTCGATTCGTCAGTTTGACGTCGTCCACGTGCGCGATTTCATCACGAGAGGCTATTCCCGTCCGGGCTAGGCGTTGACATCGACGTTTATTATTACTATCGACAACCCATTTCCTGGCACGAGCTCTCCCGAGGAACGGCGAGGATCTTTCTTGACAGAGCACGACAACAAATATGGCCGCCGTGGCGTCGTACGCGTGCACTCACAACTGCACGGACGCGGAATACCCGCCGTCCTGCGACATCCTTGGAAGCACCGACGAATGGCTGCCTTGGCACGAGATCGTGGAATATTTCTCGTACAATCCATGGATATTCTCCCTGCTGGGTAGCACCATGGTCGGCCTCACGGGTATCTTCCCTGTATGGCTCATCCCCATCCAGGATGGTGTGGATTTGAAAACTGGCGGTTAGTTGTTTTCTCGTGCAACTTATTGTCTATTGTCTTATAGGTGGCACAACATACGAGAGGAAGCTTTATCTAATCTTCGCTCTATCTCGTTCATCTTGATTCATAATTTGCCGAATAATTTTTAATTATACAATTCGGTTAGATCTAGATATAATTAACGAAGAAGAGGGAATATCGATCAAGTTTACAGTTTCTCATGGCTCTCTTGGTCGATTCTGTGGCCGAGTAAAATCTTTCACTTTTTCTATTTTAATAATTATTCTTTTATCTTTGAATGTGCAAAACGAAATAAAAAAAAAAGGAATATTAAATTTAATTTCTGATTGCGATCGAGTTGAATTTTTTATTTTAAAAAATATTATTTAAATTTTTAGATTATTGATGAAAACACGTGCTCCCGGATAGCAAGGAGTCGAGATTCGAATTCTGCTTAGGCTGATATTTTGCGCAAGAAATTCTTTACAATAGTTTAAAAAATATATCTAAATGTTTTAAAGAACTCTCAATTTTAAAATATTAATAACAAAGATATTCAAGGCTAATAGGAACGTAAGGGGTTGCGCACAATTATTAAATTCTAAAAAAATTCATTCTATTACACGACGTCTTCTTTATTTCGAAATCTTAGGCAATAATTTAATGCCTATTAGCATAATTAAAATATTTTAATTAAAATAAAATATGCCTATTAACATTATTAAAATTGTATATTAAATTAAATCGTATTTAATTTAGGACTATGTTTCAGAATCAATAAATAATCGACACGCAAATTGCATATGAAACTGAAAAATGTATGTTCATGTAAAATATTAAGCACCAAGATCCATTTTGATCGAATAAAGCTGTGGGCTTATTTGTAGGATTTCATATCTTTTCCATTTTAATAATTAATTATTTTTGAATGTGTACAACAAAATGAAAAAATGAATATTAAGTTTCATTTTCTGGCCGTGTAAAATTTTTATTAAAAGTTTTACATGGCCAGAAAATAAAACTTAATATTCATTTTTTCATTTCGTTGTACACATTCAAAGAAAATAATTAAAATGGAAAAGATATGAAATCCTACAAATTATTAATATTATTAATATTATTAATATTTATATTATTAATATTTGACATAAATTTTAAAAAATAAATATTTTAGCAAATTTGTTTTAATTACGATTTCTCTTGCTTTGCATTGCAATTTTAAATAATTGCATAACAATTATTAATCTATTAATCCGACTTTATTATCCGTAGCAAAACTAAATTTTAGGAAGTCAATATACTTCAATATTCATAGATGTAGTGTAGATTAATATTTGATTAATGTGCATGTCGTAAAAAATTTATCGAATATATTGAACGGGAAAAATAAGGAGTTTAGTCGGTGAGCTGTTTTCATGGAAAAGTTGAAGAATTGAAGACGACTATATGGCTACGAACTTAATGATTGCGTGTAAAAATATAAGTCTAACTTATATATTTTATATAAAAGAATAATAGGCATTCGGATTCCCTATTAAGATAATACTTATCAAAGTACACAAGCTTAATGTCAATATCTAACGCCACTATTTTTCTGGTAGAACAAAACTGGTTCTATTTATAGATATAAGAATAGACTACACATTCCTACGGGGGATTTCACTACCGGTTTAGAAAGAAATGAGATAACTTGAAACATCGCTTTCTTTGAGTTGAAGAGAGATGTTGATATGATTCAATTCTTTCGGAACACAGATGCTAAGATTGAAACTGCGCAGTTTGTACCTATTATGTCTATGATTATTGGTTATACCAATAAGTTGCTTTATACGTTGCAAAATTCGTATAAATTTGAAAATTCTCGATATATTAATTTATTCGTTTAATAATTTTTTTGAAAAACTGAATAACGCTACATACACAATGAAACTACTGAGGAATTTTACACACAATGTGCTGCACAAAAGATCGTTGTAGTGATTGTCGCATATTTACACAGTCGTGGAATAAGAAGGTGGAACATATTTTGATTGTGATGTTATTCTTGTTTTTCCTAGCAACATAGATTAGTAATTGTGTGACAATTCTCGTTAATAACGATTATCATGAGAAAAGCTATTAACCTTTGATTCGGCGGCGTATACAATAGTGCCATGCGATAAACTTGTGGTTGAAATTGTGAAATTCAATTATCTTGGTTCTGAAAGTCTTACAAAAACACATATAATAGATTTCCAAATTTCCTTGTATTGTTCCATAATATTTTCGGACTGTGAGTATAAATTGGATATTGATTTGAGCAGTTCCTATTCTTAGTACGATTATTGTCTTCTCTCGTTAAAATTTGAAATGACAATTCTAATAATTTCCCCTGCTTTCCAGTACTTTCACATTTCAAACTAATACTAATTGTAGCTGAAATGTTATTGTTAACATCTAATGATCTCTGATACAGAAGCTATGATAACTTCAAACGAAGCATATGGTTTAGTAATCAGAAATTCTCGTAACTTTGCGTTCGAAAAAGTACGACCGTTACTGCTGTGAAACTAGTATAATTACGACAGGATAATTAACACAATTAATGAAACTTAATGGATCGGACATGATAGAAACGAGAGGGAATAAATTAAATTTATTTATTAAATTATTTTCGTTTATATTATAATTGACTTTTGTTGTGTTCTTATTGTATAGCAAAATCCGGTATTGAACTCGACATTTTTTGCTTCGAATTGTAGAAAAACCGCAGTTATTTATCAATATAGCTATTCTATTATTATAATAAAAACGAGTCGCATTTTCCTTAATGGCAAGAAAGGAGCGATTATTTGTTGAAGTTGTTCTTTCCGCGAAGAACGAGAGACGCAATTAAAAATGGAATAGCTTTAAATACGCTGTTTATAAAATACAAGTGGAACTTCACTTTTTAATATTTATTATATATATGTCAATGTATAAGTAAACGCATTCA